TTTATTAAAATTAGCTTTATATTTATAGTACACTCAAACAAAAATAAAATTTGTTTTTGTTTTTGAGACAGAGTGTCTCCCCATCACCCAGGCTAGAGTGCAGTGGCCGATCTTGGCTCGGTACAACCTTCATCTCCTGGCTTCAAGCTATTCTCCCACCTCAGCCTCCCGAGTAGTTGGGGCTATAGGCCCTTGTCATCACACCTGGCTAGTTTTTGTATTTTTGGTAGAAATAGGGTTTTACCATGTTGACCAGGCTGGTTGTGAACTCCTAACCTCAGGTGATGCGTTCTCCTCAGCCTCCCAAAGTGCTCGGATTACAGGCATGAGCCATCGTGCGTAGCCCAGTTTAGCTTTTACAGTTTAATAAGAAAAGACAAGCCAGGTGTGGTGTCTCATGCCTCTAATGCCAACACTTTGGGAAGCTGCAACATGACAAAACCCCATCTCTTAAAAAGAAAAAAAAAAGATGATAATTATATAGGTAGAGAATTCAAAGAAAAATAAATATATACATATAGTTAATACATAATTTGAAAGATAATACATAGGTTATGCATAGATTTAAAAGTATTAAAATTGTGATCCATGTTTTTAAAAGGTACCATGTATATTTAAAAGTTGCCATGTATACCAAAAGGTTATGTATATATTGAAAAGGTGATATCAAGTAAAAATTTTTATATAAAAATGCCATCTTTTTAAATGCACAAAAAAAACTTTTTTTTTTTTTTTGGAATGGAGAATCGCTCTGTTGCCTAGGCTGGAGTGCAGGGGTGCAATCTCGGCTCACTGCAACCTCCACCTCCCAGGTTCAAGTGATTTTTCTGTCTCAGCCTCCCAAGTAGCTGGAATTTACAGGTGCCTATCACCACGCCCTGCTAACTTTTGTATTTTTAGTAGAATCGGTGTTTTACTGTGTTGGCCAGGCTGGTCTTGAACTCCTGACCTTGAGTGATCTACCCACCTCGTTCTCCCTGGGATTACAGGCATGAGCCACCACATCTGGTCAGATGCCAAAGAATGTTTTTTTTTTTTTTTTTTTTTACCTCTCAGGGTTGCAGACATTTAGAAGACTGATAATACCCATTGTTGGTGAGGTAATCGGAATTAGTTATATCGTTGACATCAGTGAAATTTGGTACAACCTTTGGGATCTTTATACATAATAATATGGAATGATGCTGAAATATGTTATAAAATCAAAAAAGTTCAAAAGCACTGTAGTATAAATATTTTAAAAATATATGAGGTGATAGCAAATAGTTAACATTTATTTTCTCTAGGTAGGTTTGAGAAGTCAACTTTATATGTCAGCCATAGCTTCAGTGTTTTAACATTTATAATTAAAATCTATTATTTTTGTAATCAGAAAAAAAAAAGTTTTTAAAAGGCAATTTCACATTTTTTTTTTTTACAGGAGATTACATGCTTGATGCAAAGCCAAAAGAAATTTCAGAAATTCAACGTTTAAATTATGAACAGGTAATCAACACAACTTTTGTTCAAGTATAATTTTAAAGTTTAAATATATACATTGGTCTTTATCAGTAGCTGGCAGCCTTTTTCTATAAAGGATTAGATAGTAAACACGTTAACTTTGCAGCCCACATGTGGTCAGTCTCTATTACAGATTCTTTGTTTTCTTTTTTAATAACTCTTTAAAAGTAAAAAAGCCATTTTTACCTTACAGCCAGATTATCATTCTACAAATCTATGTAGAATGATAACCTGGTATTTTTCCTTTTTTTTTTTCTCATTCTGTGACAGATCAAACCTTGTGTTTTTCTTGAAAAATTGACTTCCAGGTGAATTTGTCATTAATTCATCTTTCCTTGTTTTATTTATGTTTTACAATTAAGTTATATTCAGGAGAAAGTTGAACAAATGATGTGTATATCATTAGGACAAATTTTGCCATTTGATAGTTTCAGTGTTCACATTTCTTGGTATGTTATTTTGAGATCCTGTTCCACAACATAGGAGGTATCACTAGGCTCAAAATTATTGGTACTGGAAAAAAGCAAGCAGAGCTTCATTTTCTTCAGTATTCTTCCTTTACTTGGCAATAGAAGGCAAGAAGGAATTGGCTTCTTAGAGTGGAAGGAAATATTAGCCAGGGAAGAAAGAGACATGATTGGAACCTTCATATTTACTTTCAAAGCAACCTTTTTGACATACTTTCGCCAGTATTAAATTTGCAAAAAGAAAGCATAACTTACTTCAGTATTGCAAAATTTCTTGAGTTTGATGCTCTAATCTAGTCCTAATGGAATTTGAAAAATCAACAACTTACATTGCATCATTTTATAAAATAGGAAATCTAGGCCAGATGCGGTGGCTCACACCTACAATCCTAGCACTTTCAGAGGCCAAGGTGAGTGGGTCACTTCAGGCCAGGAGTTCGAGACTAGCTGTCCAACATGGCAGAGCCCCATCTCTACTAAAAATACAAAAATTGCCCAGGCGTAGTGGCACGTACCTGTAGTCCCAGCTACTCAGGAGGCTGAGGCATGAGAATTGCTTGAACTAGGGAGGCAGAGGTTGCAGTGAGCCAAGATTGTGTTACTGCACTCCAGCCTGGGTAACAGAGGGAGTCTCTGTCTCAAAAAATAATAAGAAAAAGAAGAAGCAGCAGCTAAGAAAAAGATAGGAAATCTAAAGTTAAAGCCAAATTTGTATTCTAAGTCATTTAAATTTTGTCAGGGGAATTTGTATCTTAAAACAGTGATATTCAAGCATTTTTAGCAATAGAAACCTCTTTTCAAATGAAATCCTATCTCAGCTTCCAGTATGTAAAACCAGTACATGATAAGTATAAAGTGATAAGGTTCAATTTATATCATATATTTATCAAATTTATATCATTTCTTACTGAAATCATGAACCTATTTTAATAACAAAACTTAAAATTAGGGACTGTAGAGGATAGTTGCAGTCTGATATCAAACTCCAAATTTATTTTACTTTTGTTGCCTAATTCTGAGAAAATCTTGACTGAAATGAGAAAATCTTGATTTTTGTGTTTGCAATTGCTGGGGGTGGTGGCTCATGCCTGTAATCCCAGCACTTTGGGAGGCCAAGGCAGATGGATTGCATGAGCCCAGGAGTGAGACCAGCCTGGGCAACATGGCAAAACCCTGTCTCTACAAAAAGTACAAAACATTATCTGGGCATGATTGCAAACGCCCATAGCCCTAGCTACTTGGGAGCCTGAGGTAAGATGATCACTTGAGCCCTGGAGGCAGAGGTTGCCGTGAACCAAGATCATGCCACAGCATTCCAGCCTGGACAACAGAATGAGAACCTGTTAAAAAAAAAAAGAAGAAGAAGAAGAAAGAAAAGTCTTGGTAGCCAGTCACAGTGGTTTGTAGCAGTAATTCTAACTACTCAGGTACCCAGGAGACTGAGGCAGGAGGATTACTTGAGCTTAGGAGTTCAAGACCAGACTGGGTGATATAGTGAGACTCAATCTCAAAAAAATAAGAAAGAAAGAAAAATAAAAATGTTTGCAAATGTTATCAGCATTTTAAGTCCATCTTGCAGTTTTGGAATACACTCCTATTATAGTGATCAGGATCCTAGAAAAGAGATTGCAAGTATTGGCTCAAAGTTAAAACAAAGGATTTTTAACAACTGCTTGCCTTTCTCATAAACATATCAGTCAAAAAGTATCCTGCTTTTAAAATAAAGACTGAAACTATACAGTGTTATTATTATATTACAATTAGTTTTGAAAATAGTGTATGTCAAGCTTATATGGCTGAGTCTAAGCTAGTGTGTAATGTTCCACAAGTGTGGTGTAATAGTGTTCTTTTTTGTATACTTTTACGTGAGCAGACCTCTTTAAACCTGAATTTAGAAAGACCAACACAAAGCTGCAATATTCCCAACTAAAACTCTTTACGAGAAGTTGTAAGTGTAGAGGGAATTTTTCCAGTTTTTCCTGATAATAGACATCCTGACAGTACCAGAAAACATGATATGTGTGTGTGTGTGGTCATAACAGATTTTTTTTTTTTGAGACGGAGTTTTGCTCTTGTTGCCCAGGCTGGAGTGCAATGGGATGATCTCAGCTCACTGTAACCTCTGCCTCTTGGGTTCAAGCAATTCTCCTGCCTCAGCCTCCCAAGTAGCTGGGACTACAGGCGCCCACCACCATGCCTGGCTAATTTTTTTATTTTTAGTAGAGATGGGGTTTCACTTCGTTGGTCAGGCTGGTCTTGAACTCCTGACTTCGTGATCTGCCCGCCTCAGCCTCCCAAAGTTCTGGGGTTACAGGCGTGAGCCACTGTGCCTGGCCTCATAACAGATTTTTAAATGACTGCAAATATATTCTTAAAATGTATTTTGTATTTAAATTTAAAATATTTCACCATATTAAAGGTTGGTTTGAAAAGAGTTGTAAGAAACAGTTTACCGCCTTAAAGGATCCAGTAGTAATCCCTTCTTGTGAGGTATGCAACCATAGCTCACATTTATATTTTATAATATTAAGTATTATTTGGAATTAGGAACAAAGTGGCAAAATACTTAGCCAAGAGTTTAAAACCCTTTTACAATAAGTTTGTTTCATTTATCAGTTATTGTTTTTTATTAAGACAGAGTGTTGGCCAGGCGTGGTGGCTCACACCTGTAATCCCAGCACTTTGGGAGAGGCCAAGGTGGGCAGATCACAAGATCAGGAGATCAAGATCATCCTAGCTAACGTGGTGAAATCCCATCTCTACTAAAAGTCCAAAAAATTAGCCAACCGTGGTGGCACACTCCTGTGGTCCCAGTTACTCGAGAGGCTAAAGCAAGAGAATCCCTTGAATCTGGGAGGCAGAGATTGCAGTGTGCCAAGATCACGCCACCGCACTCCAACCTGGTCAATATAGTGAGATGCTGTCTCATGGGAAAAAAAAAAAAAGACAGAGTCTTGCTCTGTTCACAGGCTGGAGTGCAGTGGCACAGTCTCAGACCACTGTAACTTCTGCCTTTGAGGTTCAAGGGATTCTTATGCCTCAGTCTCCCAAGTAGCTGGGATTATAGGCATCTGCCACCACTGCTGGCTAATTTTTGTTTTTGAGATGGAGTCTTGCTCTGTCACCAGGCCGGAGTGCAGTGGCACCATCTTGGCTCACT